GCGGACGGGGAAGCCGGGGAAGGAGGGAGGAGGGGAGTGGCAAGAGAGGCAGGGGAGAAGCAACGCTTCACGGGGGAGAGAGGGCTGGGGAAGGTGGGATGCTGGTGCCTGATACCCCTTGGCCAGGATGCTCTCAGAAGGCTGCTGTGGGAACCCCGCCGGGTGGGCCATAAGCCAGCGTCCTCTTTCTGGACGGGGTGCAGGGGGGCATCAGGCAGCCAGCGAGGGGTCCTGAATTCTGAACGAGTTGAGAGGCCGACGCTGAGCGAGCCGTCTCCACAGGGCACTGGGACTCCAGTCACGGGGGAAGCCGGGAAGGAGCCCGGCTGCCCAAGCCCAGCCCGCCCTCACCTGCCGGGCCAGGCGGCCCTTGTCCTCCGTCTTGACAGCGGTGGACTCGTTGAAAATGCGCAGGCACTCCTCCATGGGGTCGGAGTCAGAGTCGACCTCCTTCTCCAGGGCCGAGTAGCCCACGTCGGAGCCCGCCCCCGAGGAGGAGGAGGAGTGGGGGGGAGGGGAGGACCGGCTGGCCGAGGGGGGCGGGGAGGCCTTGAGGCGTTTGGGCGGCCCCCGCGCGCCGCAGAGGCCCAGGCTGGAGTCCGAGTCCGAATCGGAGCTGGAGCTGAGGCTGGGGAGGGCGGGCGGCCGCGGGGTGGGCGCCTCGGGCCCCGGGTCCTCGTCCTCGCTCTCATCCCCGAAGAGCTCGGCGTGGCTCAGGGCCCGCCTCGGCAGCTTGGGGGCACCCCGGGGGGCACCCTCATCCAGCGAGCGGGCCTTCCGCTGTGCCAGCTTCCCTGACGGGGTCTTCCTGCCCGTCCTGTCTGGCAGCTGGTGGGCGGCCCCTTGTGCGGGGCTGGGCCGCGGTCCCGGCCCCTCGGGCTGGCCTTTCCCTGAGCTGGCCACCGGAGTGGCTGAAGATGGCTTCTTCTTGGTCCCTTGGGGCCGCTCCGCCCTGTGCCGGGGGCTGCCGGCCCGCGGGCCCCTCCTGTCCACACAGGGCTTCTCGGCTGGCCTCCCATGCTCTCCATCCTGACCCCTGCCTGTCTTCCCAACACCATCCTTGCGGCCGGCGGCTGGCGGCCCCCCGCTTTTCTTCTTCTTGGGTCTCCCCTCCTTGGGGCTGCTGCGCTCCTGCGAGGCCCTGCCCGGGGAGCTGGGCTTGGCAGGAGGCAGCCCGCCTGGGCCCTTGGCAGGCTGACCAAGGTCCCCCACGTCGTACTGCACGGCCATCTCCTTGGTCTCCCGAAGGCTGCCCTCCTCAGGCTCTGGGCCCTCCCTAGAGCCCGGCTTCCCCGGGGCCTTGCTCTCAGGGCCCGCTCGGGCTCTCGGGGGGCTGGCGGTGGCGGGCCTGTCGCCCGGAGCAGCAGCGGTATCATCGTCAGAGTCTGAGAACCTGGCGTCGCAGCCACCGAAGGGGTCACAGGGCTTCTTGGGTGCAGGTGTGTAGGGCTCACTGCCGCGGGAGCCCCGGGGCCGCTTGGGGGCCCTGTCGTCCTTGGTGCTGGCCCTGCTGAGCAGGCGGGCGGAGAAGTTGGACAGGGGGTCGTATTCCAGGTCTGTAGATGGCTTGGAGTTGTCCACTACGTACTTGCCGCTGGAGACGGGGCGGCCATACCGCCGGGGCTGGCCCACGGCCTTGGGGACGTACTCCAGGGTGCCACCAGCCCCTCCACCATGGCCCTGACCCCGGTCCAGAGAGGCCAGCGAGTACTTGGTGCCAGGCTCGGTGTGGCTGGCCAGAGGCGTGGGCTGGTAGCTGGCATCAGGGCTTAACAGGCCATGGCCGCCAGGGTTGTATTCGAAGGACAGAGGGAAGGTGTCCCCATCCAGGCCGGCAGTGGGGCCGTGGGGCGCCAGGGCAGGGGCCTCGGCCGAGCCGTGCTCCCGGGCCGTCTCCAGGAGCTCCCGGTAGCGCCTCTGCTCCAGCTCCACCTCAGAGCGCACGGCCTCGATGGCCTGGTTGACCAGCTCCAGCTCCAGAATGTCTGAGCGGGGCTCGGCACCTCTGCCCAGGGCGCCATTCTCCCTCTGGGCAGGGGGCTTGGGCAGCTCGGGGTTGTACGGGTCATAACCGAGCCCTGAAATGGAGAGGGAGAAAACAGCAATGAGCGGGCGGCTATAGCAGCAGGCCAGATGAGCCAGTGACCGGTCACTGCCTCGTCCCGGGCCTCAACCCCAGGCGCCAGCAAGGAAGAGCAGAGTACCAGCCTCCAGAACCTACCGGGGGCCAGGCCTCCGGCCGACCCCCACCAAGGCTCCAGCAGCAAATCAGGGTTTCCAGAGGGCCCCTCCCTGCAGGTCCTGCCCCGAAGAGGCTGCCAGGTGGGGTGAGGGCACAGAGCCCAGGCCCCAGAGGAGGCCACAAGATCCCGGGGACTTCACCGCCTGGGACAGGGGATGGCGAGGCCTGGGGAGCTGGGCGAGAGGGTGGCTTCCCCCCAGGGCCCAGTCCACACTGAAGACACACCACGCTGCTCCCTGCAGCCGGGGAGGCCGGACACCCAGCCAGGGCAGAAAGCGCAGGGCGCACAGACGCCTGACTGGGGGGCAACAGGGGTGCGAGAGGGAGCGGGAGGCGGGGCCGACACAGCCCACCCACAGCAGCGGGTGGACGGGCAGATGCACATGGCCCTGCCTGGTGACAGCGCCTTTAGGACTCTGTCCCCCACACGCGCTCTCGCCCACAGAGAACTCCACCGGCTGTGCGTGTACCAGTGAGGACACAGAAAGCCCCGAAGCGTACACTGGGAAGGGGCAGCGGGTGGGGTGGACGAAGGACAGCACAGCACATTTCACGGGGGGAAGCGAGGCACGATGATGTCCAGGGAACAGCGCCACGACGTGAAAGACATTCCGGCAATGGGCAATGTTAGGGAAGCACGAAGTGGGGTGGACGGCAAGGCGGGCACAGGACACACTTAGGTTTGTATCAATCTGAACAGGGGTGGCGGAGCGGTTGGCGGGCTACCTGGCTCCAGGGTGTATTCCACGAGACCAGTCCAACCCCAACACCACCCACGTTGACACGAAGCTTACGGGAGACTCAGGACAGAGATGCGGAAATTCTCGGTAAGATGTAAGCAAATAAAGCCCAACTTTCCGAGAAAGGAATAACGTGTTCAAATATTCCAGAATGTAAAGACGGTTCATTGTTAGAGCGTCTGCCAGACATAATCTGTAAAACCTGACAAAAAAGTGGATCGATTTGGTGCTTTCTGGTTAGCAGAGTAACAGCCAATTCTCCCAGAACCTCCAGATGGGATCAGCCGTGCCCACACCTGGACTGTAGCCCAGGGGGACCCACTTTGGACCTCTGAGCTCCAGAACCACCAGAGAAAAAACCCTGTGTTGTTTTAAGGCACCGGTGAGTGGGGTCTTGCTGCAGAAGCCCCGGGAAACGCACACATCACTGATGAAGCACTGGAGAACCCGGCATTGCCGGGGCCGGTGGCTGGGCCTGGGCCGGTGGCTGGGCCTGGGCCGTCTGGGGGCCCAAGGTGGGGCGGGACCCACTGCAGGCCTGTTGTCTGGCTTGTACCTTGGAACCTATTTCTCAAAGAATGCTTAGAAAGGAAAAAGGATGCAAGTACACCTGTGCTTCAGAACACCGAGGACACACCCAGGCTGCGGGTTATAGATGGGGAAGTAAAACCAAGCTGCAGAGGCCACAGGGGGCAGCGGGACTGGGGTGCCGGGGAGCAGTCACTTCATGCCCCCACCTCCCAGCTGAGGACGCCAGGGTGAAGGGCAGAGTGGGGGACAGGTCAGGACACACAGCCACTGGGCCCTCTGCCCCCCACAAGGTTCAAGATGAAGGCACCACAGACAGGAAAGGCTAGAAACCCCAACAGCGAGATCCAGGGCCCTGTTCCCAGCCCACCCTAACCCTCAATGGGTCTGAAGGCACTAAAGCAGACCCACCCCTAGCCCACCACCCACCCGGATGAACAGAAGAGCCAGCGCCCCCGCACGCCGTCCCCTCGGAGTGGAGGGCCCAGGACACAAGCCAGGGGGCATTTACAAGGCATCTCAAATGAGGGGTGGGTCGGGTCTTGCCGGTCTCAGGGGGCCTCCAGCCCAACCCACCTCACTCCCAACCTCCCTCCTGAGGCCAAGATGGCTCCCACCCCAGCCGGCTCCCCTAGGTGGGGGACGGGAGCAAGGGCCCAGCTGGTGGGAATGCCCTCCCCCAGGAGAGGTGGGCAGGGCAGGGTGGGGATCAAGTGGATGGGGGTCCTTCCCCACCCCTGACCTGCTCTGGAACAGGTCACAAAGGGCCACAGACAACACGCAATCACCCAGGAGTGCCTCTAGCCCTTCCCAAGTAAGGGCAGAGTTCAAACCCCTGCACTTTGCATTTTGAAAGGGATCCCCCCACAAACAAGCCTGTGCCTTGGAAGCAAGGAGAGGAAGGAGGTGCCCTGGGACCCAGCCCCCAGCCCCTTAGATCTGAGCTTCCAGGAGCTCTGTCGGCGTGGGGGGTTTTCAGTCCCAGGGGAGGCTGCCTTCTCACACCCCATCAGGCTACACCAAGAAGCAAAAGAAACAGCCCAAGGTGGGTGTGAGCCGGTCTAGGCCAACACCCTCTCCTCCAGGGCCTCAGTGTCCCCAAGGTACCATAAGGGCCAAATCACCAGCCCGAGGAGCTCCAGACAGGTCTAGACGCGTCAAGGACACAGCTGCCAGGGGCTCGGCTGCAGCCCCCTGCAGCTCAGAAGCTAGTGCGCGGGGCACAGAGCTTGGTCCCTGGAGCTGCAGCCCCAAGCCCCTGCCAAGGCTACTGGAGGCTCGTGGGGGGAGGCGGGCAAGTGGAGAAGATATCTGTGACGCCACCTAGCGCCCCCGCCCTACTCCGCCTCAGGGACCGGTAGGAACTGGAGAAGCTCCCCGAGAAAATGTTTTGCAAGTGACGCAACAGGTGACCCTCAAGAGGTCAGGAATGGCCGTGGGAGCACCTCAGAAGCGCCTCCCCGTTACTGGGGAGTTAAACTGGCTGGGAGCCAATGGGAGCTCCTTAGGGGCTTGCACCAGGGAAGCATGCCTTTGGTAAACAAGATTAATTGGGCTGTTTTTCGGAAAGGGGGCGAACCTCGGGATGACTGAAAAAGCACCTTGAGGGCCTGGCTGCTGGGGTTACACTCTCAGAAGTTCCTGCCCCCGGCCCAGGGCAAGGGAGGGGTCGGCTACTGCCGCTCAAGGGACACCCACAAGGCCAAGGGCCTGCCCAGGCGGGCCACCGCTTGAAGGATGCCCCTTGGGAAGGCTCCCGGCCAGCGCCTGGGGCCGAGCCTTCCTCAGCCGTCCCTGTGCCCAGTCCTGTGTGCGCAGCGCCCACTGCCGGCTCTGGTGCTGCTGGACACTCTCCCAGTGACCCAGTCCCGACCAGCTCTGATCACCAGCTCTGAGCAGGCATCCGGCACAGCGGGGCCCAGGCCAGCTGCCCCACCTCCACACCGGGAGAAGCAAACACTCGGGGCCACAGCGCTCAGGGAACGGGTCACGCGGAGCCCACGGCGGGTCGAAGGACAACACGGGGTGGTGGCCACCTCCAACCCCTCCAAGCCTTCCCCCTGCTCCTCTCTGCTCCCACCACGCCCCTCCGTTCCAGAAAACACTCCGCACCCTTCCATAACTGCGCAGACGCCCGGCCCACAAGCTCTAGCTGCACGTAAAATTAACGACAAGCGAAAATGAGCAGACACATGAGCGTGAAGACCCCACTGGGAGGCACGTGACCCCCACCCGGCCGGCTCCGAGGCCTTCCCCTTTAATCTCGACGTTCGCCCTGCTCGCGTCAGCCCCCTTCACAGAGGAAAGAGGAGGCTGGGTCTAGGGCAGCGGGCGAGCGAGGGATCTGCCTAACCCCAAACCCTGGCTCCCTGCCCCAGAAGACCCAGCGCCATGTGATCCTTTCCGGGTCCCGAAAGACTCCCCATCACCCCACCCCTCCTCCCCGCTGCACCTCCAAAGACAAGAGGCACACAGTGGTCCCACCCCCCACCCCGCCCACTTGTGCTCTGATTAGACATCAGCGGGGACTCCTCCAACCCAGGGGACGGTCACACACAAGGGGGTGGGCAGGGGGGCCAGGAGAAGACAGACACCATCCCGCCACACGAGAGGTAAGCAGGACACAAGGATGAGTCAAAGAAGAGCAACTAGACCACCCCTGCCCCAGGAAGCTACCCAAGTGGCAGAGGCCTCAAAGGCAGAGAAAGAATGGAGGACATTCCACTTCCAGCCACCAGGCAAACTTCTATTCATCCTTCAAAGCCCAGCTTGGTAACTGCTTGCTTGGGGGCACTCGCCCGACTCCCTGCAACCTCAGGTGCCAACGGCTCGCTCTCCCGGACTCTAGGCCGTTATCTGTGCTGCTGGACACCCCTCCTTCCCTTGCAGAGTCCCCACAGCCTGGTCCCCAGATAAGTACTGAATTCAGACAGACCCAGAAGAGCCCTTGGAGGGCCCCAGAGCCAGCTCCTGATTTTACGGATGACACAGAGGCTGTGCCGTGCCTGCGTGCATGCCCAGGCTGAGGCCACAGCTTGTGAGATGGCCAAGTCCCAGCCCCCAGAGCACCCGGGTCCATCAGCCACCCGTCCTGCTCCCCCCAGCAACTACAGCAGCAGGCAGGAGGGCAGTTCCCCCAGCAACGTTCCTGGGCTTTCAACACTGCCTGCCACCCGTGCAGCCCTCGGGGGCAGGGTGCTCCACATGGCCCTTTACAGAAAGCCTCAGTGCTCAGAGGAAGCCACGGACCCAGCGCCCTAAAACCTCTGGCACATGTGCCTGCTTCTTCAAAGGGCAGACTGGCTACCGCAGGAGCCTGAGGACCTGCCACCACCAAGGAGGACAGGGGACCAGGAGACAACCCTGTGGGGCTCCGGCCGGATCTGCCCTGACCACCTCCCAGCTCCCATGATCCTCCTTCCGCGCTTTTCCTCTTTAGTGTTCCAGGTTTTGCTTTGAGTCAGATCAGACCAGCAGAAGTCTACCTTCCGCACTTGGACAGCTTAAATAATAATAAACCAAATTCCTGTGCACCCAGCACTCGCTCGTCACTGGAAATGATCCTGTGCGGGGGATTCTGAGGGCAGAATGGGAGTGGAGGAGGACGGCAAAGCAGGAGCATTGAGCAGCACAGCTGAGACGAGAGAGGAGCACTGTGTGTAGAGGGTCTGCGTCGTGACCCCGTTTTGCAGAAGAGGTAACTGATGCCAGGCTCTTCGCACAACGGAAGGTGGAGCCAAAAGGTCTTCATCTGAGGCCCTACTCCACCTGCAGGGCTGAAAGCCAGCCGTGGCGCCTGCATCTCTTCTCTGGAGGATACTCTGGGGGTGGGGGGTACACTCGGGCACCCACGTGGTCCTCTGAGCTCTCCCAGCGGGGTGCTGTCCCTGTCCACCCCAACCTGGGCGCCTGGGCCGCCCTGCCTCACCTCCAGAGCCGGAAGAGCTGGGGCGGCGACGATTCTCAGAGTTCTTGGCTCCCTGCAGGTGTGGCCAGCCCTCCCGTCCTATTCTCAAATACGAAAGGGGCCAGATGCTGGGATACTGATCAGGATGCTCCATGTCACCTGGCATCACTGACGTTTGGGGCTGGAAAAGTCTGTGTGTGTAGGGGAAGGGGGACATCCTGGGCACCGGCGGGCACTGAGCGGCATCCCTGGCCCTTGCCCCCTCGTTGCCAGGAGCACTCGCAAGTCATGACAACCGCAGATGTCCCTGTATCGCCCTGTGTCCCCCAGGGGATCAGGACTGTCCACGGTGAGAGACACTGCTTTACTGACATGAAGCAAAGAATCCTAAAATACCAAAAACAGCTTTAAGGGCAGATGTACCCTTATTCAAATGTCCCAAGCCTGGATCTGGGCAAGAAGGCAGGTTTTTAAAGTTCCCCAAGTGCTTGAAGAGGGGCCGCAGGCCTGGGGATGGCCTCTCACCTCACTGGTGTCTCTGGAGCCTCCACAAAAGAATGCAACTTCACCAGTGAGGCAGGGTCACGAGTACAAGAAAGAGACACACAGCCTTTTGTTTCTGAGGCTGGGAGGACACACAACAAGCTGGCAGATGCAGGACTTGCGACAACATGCGAAACATCTTTCCTTTGACTTTGCGGCATTCTCCAGTGGTTTTAAAACGGACATTCTCCGAGTCCAGAAAAAAAAGTGCTCTGAATGGAGAGACAACGTGTCCAGGCCGCCGCTGGCTGGGACACTGCCCCCGAAGACAAGGGCTGCATCTGGGTGGGGCTGAACCACCAACACAACCTAGATTCTTCTCATCCTGGTGTAAGAGATGAACTCTGCTCTGAAAATCCAACAGCACTTCTCCTCTGCTCCCTCTTTACAAAAAAGTCAAGAACAATAGAAGAGAACCACCGCGGGATGGCAGTGAAGGCCCCTCCTCTGGGAGGCCACAGCTTCTGTCCTCTGAGCCTGGGGGCTGGAGCTGCACCTGGGCACACAGCTCCCTGGGAGGGGCAGGGAGGAGACTTTAAATTAAAAAAAGTGGCCTCAGCAAGAAGCAGCCTGTGACCAGGGGGTCTCACCCAGGGTGATCCCGCCCCCCCAGGGGACACTGGGCCACGTCTGGGGACATCTGACATCTGTGCATGTTGTGACTGGGGGGCTGCTGGCATTGAGGGGCTGTGGCCAGGGAGGCTGCTCCACACCCCAAAGTGCCCAGGACTGGTCCAGAGGATAACCCCCCATGTCCCCAGTTTCTGCTATTCTTCATAGCTCCCCCCGACCCCCCGATGAAGTGAGAGGCTCTGGCTGGCCTGACCAAAGACCACACCTGACAACCAGCTAGGAAAATCCCTCCCAGGTCCTCAAGTACCCTGGCTGGGCCTCCAGACACAAAGGCAATTCTGCTCTCTGCTGAGGTTTTCTCAGTATCAGTTCTCTCCCAGGAAGGGGAGGGAGGGAAGTGCACATGGCAGTTCACTCTGGAAGAGAAAGTATCAAACCGAGAAAAGCACTGTCATCAGGGCAGTGGGAAAGCTGCTGGCACCCAGCCCACGGGGGAGGCAGCTAAGGGGCAGCGTGGCCAGCGGCCCGGGGCAGCGATACTGCAGGGGCTGCTGGCCCCTCCTGTTCCAAGTCAGCTCGCGGAGAAAATCAAACAAAACCCACCCTCCGCTGGAAGCACTCGTTTCTCTGGCTGCATCCTCCCTTCCCTGCCTGACTCCTGGCTGCGACCTTCCCTGGAGAAGCAGGGCTTGCTCTCAGGATTCCAGACCACAAGGGGCCGCTGCCGAGGCCTAAATCTGAGACCCCGGGGAGGGGGTTGCCCAGGGAGCTGTCACTGCCACCCAGCTGGGGCCACCCCCACCTTCCAGCCTCCTTCCAGACCATCCTTGGAAGGTTTCAGTGCTCAGGCCCTGCTATACTGTCTTTCCCAGATCTCACTGTTACCTCCCAGCCTCAGGGCACAGCACTGAGCACACATGTAATGGGCACCCAGGTGCCCAGGTCCCACATGTGCCAGGCAGCAGGAAGCAGCCGTCGGTGGTGAAGGGCAAGGGCCTGACAGTCCAGATCAACCCTGTGTCCCCCACTTACCAGCCATGTGCACACAGGTGTGTGGCTTCCCCTCTCTGGGCCTGTCTCCTTGTCCGTAAAATGGGGACAATCATCCCTACCACTGGTTAAAGAGCACGCCTGAGGGTGCGTGGTGGTAACTGGGCATCCCCCAGCTGAGTGCCAAGGTGGGGACCCTGGAGCACAGGAGGGCAGATTTGAGGGCCGGGAAGAACGGGATGCCCACCCAGCCCTCAGGAGGCCATCAACCCAAGGCCAGAGGTGCTGGGCTACACAGGGACCCCCATATCCTGCCTGCAGGTGGCCATCACCCAGCACCTCAGCATCCTTGTGCAGCCCACCCTTGCCAAAGCACCTGTGCTTGGGCCGTGCCTATCTGGTCAAAAGCGGACCCCCAAAGCCTGGATTTTTGCAGTCTCTTCAAGCCCAATGGGAAGTGGGTTTGTCAAAATCTGGAGCAAGGGGAGCTGAAGGGGTGGGGGAAGTCTAGGCACACACTCCCCCTGGCCCACGAGCACGCCACAGAGGAGGAAAGAGAGTGTCAAAGAGACCCCGCAGCGAGAAAGAGGCCAAGCTGGGATCTGCCCCTGCCTCTCTGCAGGGCGAGGCAGCCCTCAACCAGAAGGTAACCAGAGCATGCCCCCCAGGCCCCACCCTCCGTGATGGGAAGAGGGCTGCTTATTCTCACCTGCAAAAGGAAAATGCAGACACACTGGGGTCAGGGGTAGGCAGCTGCACTTTTTCCTGCGGGAAAGTGAAGCAGACAGGGCTACATCACCAAATGGATTATCAAAAACGATCCTTTGGGAAAATGGCCATTTGTGGTGTAGGAAGCAATCAAGAGACCGACTTGGCAGGAGAGGAATGCACGGGAAGAGAAGTCAGCGCCCCAGAGCGCAGACGGCTGGAAGGCCACCTGTGGGCCTGCAAAAGAGTCAGTCCCGGGGTCTCAGGGAGCCGGCTCGCCCGGTCTGTCCCGACGGTGAGGAACCCAGACACCAGGGGCTCTTTACAGAACGCCACACACCGCGCCAATAACTCAACAGATGTTGTGAGAAACTGCCCTGTGACAGGGTGACCACCGAAAGGCCTCCCACTCACCCCCTTCCCCTCTCCCAGACCTGAAGCTCAGGCACCTGTGTGCACGGCTGTCTTCCCTCCTCGAGGGGTTCCTGAGAGGCAGGCCGGAGCCCAACGCAGGTGTGGAGCCCGACCTTGTAGCAAACAATGGGCTACAGGGGCCAGTGGTCTGAGCAAATTTACAGTGGAAATTTGAAAAAATTCTACCTTTTTTTTTTTCTGGCAAACTGAGAAAACAGCCCTATGGTTTCATCCTAGCAATGACGCCCCTCTCTTCAAGTAAGAAGGCTCTGAGACAAGGACCAGTGCCTTATGGGGGAAATCTGGGCCCTGATGGAAAGGGGGAGCCAGTCCCGGAGGACAGGGGCCACAGCAGGAGCCTGAATTCCCCTCGGAAAGAATGACACCACACTCGATCCTCCCGGCGGGCCTTTCCTTGTGATGTCCCTCTTTTTGCCCCCGTTCTTCACGTCTCGGCTCAAGGCCCACACTTCCTACGAGAAGCACTGCCTGCCCGCTGACAGCTCTCACCGAACTCTGCCATGACATTGATAATCACCACACTGATGGGATGCGCAGTCTCTGAGCGTTCTCTCGGAAGGCTGTCCCCGACCCCAAAACACACACAACACACAATCAACCGGGTTTGACTCACTCCCTAACCCTGGCATGACACACCAGGCTCGACACACAGTCGCCGGCCGCTAAACAAGACCCTCTCGACTCCGCTGTAGTAAACAGGAGCGGCCACGAGCAGAGGCGCAGCGGGGGAGGAAGCGCGGAAATAAATAACGGCTGCAACCAACACACTGGGCCGGGGAGGCGGCGGGAACGGTTCCCCGGGCAGGAGTCCCGGGCCTGCAGACCACTGTCGGCCGCGTTCATCTCCCGATCCCCGGGCGCTCCACCCTCGCGACACCTCTAGGAGAGCAGGTCCTCCCATTGTTTACGTTTTACACTCATGGAAACGGTGGCTTACAGAGGTCCCGCGACTGGCACTGGGCCCAGGGGTGGGTGGTCCCGGCTTGGGGGGACGAAGCCCGCGATCATGCAGGGAGAGGGCTGAACGGGGAACAGGAAACCATGGAAACCCGGGCGCTGGGGTCCAGGCCTGCGCCAGGGAACGGAGCCCGGGGCGGGCGCGTAGACATTACCTGCTGCGGGGGGCGCCGCTCCGCCTTCTCCAGGTGAGCCCGGGCCCCGGGCCCCGCGGTGCCGGAAGTGGCAGTAGGGCCGCCGGCAGGGTCCCCCAGGCGACCCGGCCCAATAGGGGCAGTCGATGGTCCGGAAGAAGCCGGTGGAGCGTAGCATGGTCCGTCCCGCGGCGGGGCCCCGGCCCGGAGCCGCCCGGGCCCCCGGGCCCCCTCACTGGCGCCGCGGTCGCCGCCGCCCGCGGCTCACGGACCCCGCCGCCGCCGCCATCTTGCTCCGAGGTCCCCGGAGGCCCCCGGGACGCCGCCGCAAGGGACCCCGGGAGCGGCTGCCCGAAGTGCGCCTGATCAGAAACGGCTGCTCCCGCGGGACCGAGGTGGGTCACGGACCCCTGGCCTGGGACAGACGGCTGCGGGGGGAGTGATGGGGGGCGCACGCTGCCCTGCCTGCGGCCTCCGGGTCTCTTGCCGCCGCAGCCGCCCGGGCCTCTGTGGCGGCAGAAGCACCATCTTCAGCCCCAGGCCCCTGCGGCACCTGGGCTGCCCAAGGCGCGCCTGATCAAAAAAAAAAACGCCCCACACGGCCCGGCTGCGGCTTATTTGCATGCAATTTGCGTTCTATTAGCTTGTCTCCCTAAAGCGCCCTCTGCGGGTCGATTCGAGTCCTGCGGGCGCATCTCACCTGCACCTGGGAACCCTCACCTGAGTTACCCAGTTCAGGCTCTGAAACTCAACTCCTCCCTGGTTGACTGGCAATAAGCGCTTCATTTCTCCCACCTGGACTCTTGTCACTAGTCTAATCCCCAGGTCTACCAGAGGAGACCTGTTCCAATTCACTCATTTGTCCATCAAATATTGAGCACCTACTGTATACCAAGACCCTGCCCTAAATCGTATTTTATGCATTCATCAGATGATGGACATTCGGATTGTTTCCGTCTTTTGTCTACTGTGGATTGTGCTGTTGTGAACATGTGTGTATCTGAGTACCAGTTTTGTTTCAGTACTAGTTTTTCAAATGATGTAAATTTGCCTGTTGCCCATTTTTTTTTTTTTTTGGTACATGGGCCTCTCACTGTTGTGGCCCCTCCCGTTGCGGAACACAGGTTCCGGACGTGCAGGCTCAGCGGCCATGGCTCACGGGCCAAGCTGCTCCGCGGCATGTGGGATCTTCCCGGACCGGGGCACAAACCCGCGTCCCCTGCATCGGCAGGCGGATTCAACCACTGCGCCACCAGGGAAGCCCTGTTGCCCATTTTTAAAATGTAGGGAGATGTCACATACAACTACAATTCCCAGCCTGTCCACCAGCTGGCAATTACCAAGGATCCTCCTGTGAGCAGGCAGTAGTCTGTGCAGGTCACCTCCCCCCTCTCCCAACCCACCTCTCTCCCTACCTCGGCCACCTGGCCCTGCAGACATATGGGCTTGAGACCCCTCACCCCAGGGGTCTCTCAATGCCTCTCTTCCATTGCCAACAGGAGGGTGGGCTCCTGAACAAAGCAAAGATCCCCACCCTGGTGGCTGTAGCATTACAGATGCAGACAGACAGACAACAGGAAATCAGTAAATATCTTGATACAAGGTAAAAAGTGCTATGCCGGGGAAGTAGAACAGGGTAGGGGGCTGGGACAAAGGGTGGTTCACATAGTCCTATGGGAAAGGTGGGATTTGAGCAGTTCTAAGGAAGCGAATGAGGAAGTTAAGCAGGCATCTGGGGGAGGGGCTTTCGAGGAAGAGGGCATAGCGCGTGCAAAGACCCTGGGGCAGGGCCGGGCCTAGCATGTTGGAGGAACAGCTAGAAGGTCCATGTGTCTGGAGCAGAGTGAGCCAGGGGGAGAGAGGGAGGAGGGGAGGGCAGGGAGGGGACGGGGCAGGTCGTGCAGATCCCTGTGGGCCACGGGGAGAGCATGGGCTTTTACCCCCAGGGAGGTGGGAGCCTTGCAGGCCTATGGGCAGAGGAGGGACTGGACCTGGTACAGGTGCTCACTCGCGCCCTGTGGCCACTACAGGATGGACAGACTTTCAGGAGCTAGGATGGGAGTCAAGGACCACAGGGGAGGCCACGCTGGTCCAGGTGGGCCATGATGAGGTGGGACCAGGTGGAGGCCGAGGAGGGGGGAGAAGTGGGTGGATTCTGGATGTGTTTTGAAGTTAGAGCTCTAGGGAGATTTCAGGGTGGACTGGATGTGGGTGGTGAGACAAAGAGGGGAGTCACGGGTGACCCCAAAGATTTTGGCCTGTACACTTGGAAAGATGAAGCTGCAGTGATGAAGGGGAGCCGAACAAGAAGCGAGACCTGCGGGCTTTCGGGCCAGATTCTAGGAGAAAGGGAGCAAGGGGAGTGCCAGAGGGAGGCCACCCTCGAGTAAAGGCGAGGGCCCCGTGCCCAGGTTGGGGCGACCTTGGCGGGCCCAAGGACAGGACCCTGGGGAGGGGTGGGCCGGAGACGGTGGTGCAGTACCAGGGGAGGCCACCAGATGGCGGGTCTGCCGCCTCCCCGGGGGCGGGAAGCGGGGAAACCCGGGGGGAGGGTCCGCGCTCCATCCACCGCAGTCCCCCACACGCCTTCCGGGCTCCGGAGACCGCTGGAACCTGGGATGCACTTTTCCTAAGAAGGGGTTCAGAGCCCTCACCAGTTTCTCAACGCTCCCGAGGCCCCTTGCCCTCTCAACTGGGAGCCGGCATACAGCAGGCATACGATACAAGAGCGGCCAGACGATGAGCACAGAAGCCGGGCAGGGGTAGAGAGGAACCCCCGGGGAGGCGCCTTGTCGAGACCGCGAGTCCTTTAGAGTCTAGAGAAGCGCGGGCTCCCCCCGCCCCCGGTTCCGGAAGGGGGCGGGCAGCGGGCGCCCCCGGGCGCCGTGTCACCGCGCCTCGGTTGCCGGGTAACCGAGCCGGAAGGCGGGCTGGGGGCGCAGCTGCGCGAGGCGTGGGTGCCGCTGGACTGCAGCACACGCCGCAGAGGGCAGCCCCCTCCCCGCACCTTGGGGCTGGAGGGGCGTTGCCAAGACCGCCACCGGGTCCCCGAATTCACTAGCCCACTGCCTCAGTTTCCCCAAGAGGAGGCTGGGGACCCCATTGGCGAGGGGGACAGAGGGACTCAGAGGGCCCACCGGCTCGGACCAGCGACGGAAAAAACCACAAGGCTCTGGAAATCGGGTTTAAAAAAGACATGTTTAATTAATTAAATACCAGGATGAGGCCAGGCAGGGCAAGGGGAGGGGGGTCACCCGAAAGCACAAATCCCTTGGGACCCTACCCCCTACACCTCGAGAGGCCACTGCTAAAATGGCTGGAGCCAGACCCCAATGACCATCGGTCCCTCCAGACCCCTGGACACGGAGGGGTGAGGGGGGTCAGGGACAAGTTCTCAGCTCCCTGGGTCCTCAGACCACAGTCCAACCCCCACGGACATGCACCGGCCAGGGCTGGGACAATGAGGGGGGCGTCCAGACAGACACAAAGGGAAACAAGGCCCGGGCCCGCCCTCTGCCCCCTGGACTAAGGCATCTCACCACCGCGGGAAGATCCTCCGCAGCCCCGCCGCCCTCCCCAGGACCCCAGGCACCTGTCCCTGGATCCTGCCAGGGCCGGTTCCGGTCCACGCTAGTGCCATCCAAACGCCCCAGCCGCCAACTGGGAGGCGGGAAGGTTCTGGAACACAGAGGGGTGCCACAGACCTCGTGCAGCCAAAGGCGGGATAAGCCTTTTCAGGGTATGGGACAGGGAGCCTGGGTCCCTTCCCATTCCAGGGCCGGGGTCTTCAGTCCCTCTGTCCAAAATGAAATCCAACCGCAGCCACAGTGGGAAGACACCAGGAGGGGACGTGACATCTGTCCCTCCTCATCCTAAGTTCAGACCACGCAGGACCTCCCCCACACACCCACAAAGCCTGAGGACAACAGACCACCCACCGGGGCCCAGATCAAGGAAGAGATTGGCGCCTGAAAAAATATTCTACCCGGTCCAAAAAAATCGAGCTATCCCAGGGGGTTCGAGGGTCAGCCCTCCCACTTCCCGCCCGCCCACCCGCGTGGGCGGGACCTCAACCGCTGGTCCAGTGGCCATGCCCGGGGCAGGATGGAGCAAGGGCCCGGGGCCTCCTCACCCCCATCCGCAGGGCGGGGAAGGGGTGCATTTCGCCCGAAGGCTGGCCTGGTCCCAAATAGGAGGGATTGATTGTCACGTGATGCTGCACAAGGCCAAAGTCGGGGACTCTTCCCCTTCAGGAGAGGGGAGCCGGCCATCCGAACTGGGGGCCAGCTTCCCCCCAGTCTCTCTCACCGACACACTCTCACACCCACCCAGCAGGGCAGGGCAGCCCCCCAAGCCAGCAGACAGAGGAAAATAAATAAGCCTGCAGTAACTCCCATCCGGTGATATTCGCGCCCCGCACCCCGCCCCCACCGTGAATCAAATTGCTCTTTGGAAGAACCCCCTTTCTCTCCCTCCCTACCCCAAGTCTCAGAAGCAAAACCAGTACCCCTATGGAAACCCTACGACCTCCCCAGTCCCCACCCACCCAGCCCTAGAGGCTGGGGAGCTGAGGGGCCCCTCCCGTGAGCAGTGGGGCAGAACCTGTGGACACCTGAGATTGAGTACCCGAATGGGGGCGGCCGGGCCACACCCCCGTTTCCCTGAACGTCTCCAATGGCTTTCGGCGGGGTGAGGGGCTCCCGGGGCGGGGGATGGGGGGACACGAGGCAGCCCGCGGTAACCCCTGGTTCACCTATGGCTCTTTGCATACTTCATCCCAACCTGGACAGAGGGGCTTGGGGACCAAGTGTGAACACCGGTTAGGGGGTGCCTTTCCTGGGCCACCTCCCCCCAAGGCCCACACGTCCCTCAAAGCAGGGAGGTGGCGAAGGGGGAAGGGGGACGCCTTCTGGCCACCCACCCGGGGTCCCTGTTTAACAGCTGGGAAGAGAGTTAACGATCATGGCTATATACAGACACAGGGCCACTACCCCTCCCGAGAGCAAACTCCAAGGCCCGGATGACCCCAGTCCAGTCTCAGACCCCTCCTTGTTTTCTTGAGGGGGCAAGGGCATCTTGGGGGGCCCTCAGGGGGACACTGGAAGGGGCCGGGCTGGCGGTCAGTCCGTTCCCCGCCCCGGGCCGGGACAGCAGGCGTGTTGCTGGTGCTCCATGCCCAGGCCCAGCGGGGGCGCGCTCAGGGCGGCTGGACTGGGGCTCTACAGG